GTTGCGCGTCCACGGTTGCCTCCCATCTCAGGTCCTTCCATCCGCTCATCCTCCCAGCCCCCACAGCTGGTCCCAAATGGTCGGTTCATCCCTGGTGCTATTTGAAGGAGACAACTCCCAAGTTGGGGGCACACAGACACCAGAGTCCCATCCTCTCCCGCGCTCCCCACAACGCACAGCCCCCCAGAATCAAGGCTGGCACCCCTGGCTTGAGGAGGAACCATCCGTTAGAACGGGAACCAGTTTTTTGTTTCATTTTGGTTTTGTTTTTTTAAGACACTCGTCTTGGCATGCAACTTAGTGCTGGAGCGGTAGCACGGCGGGGTATGGCCTTGCTCGCGGCCGACCCGGGTTCGATTCCCAGCATCCCATATGGTCTCCTGAGCAACACCAGGAGTAATTCCTGAGTGCAGAGCCAGGAGTAACCCTGTGCATCGCTGGGCGTGACCCCCGGCAAAAATAAATACATAAATAAATTCTAAAATCAAATGACCCATTTAACCACTTTTCCATTTCCCTCTGCTGTCTCATCACCTCTGTTCCCCTTCTCCCCCTATGTCCCAGGAATGTTTATGCAGCCATCCATGGAATGTCACTCTTTCAGGGGCCGGGGAAGTCGTAGAACTGGTACTATCTTGTCTTGTACACAGCTGAGCTGGGTTCAATCCCTGGCACCCCATGTGGTACCCTGAGCCCAGAGCCAGGGTAAACCCTGAGCATGGCCAGGTGTGCACCCATCCACCCCGAAGGAAAAAAACTTTCAGTGAATCTAAGGAACAAATGATGACTTTATTTTTTTTTTGTAGGAGTAATAAATTTTAAAACTATTAAAAAATTTTAAAACAAATATTGAACTGTTTCTTCTCGTTAATCATGGCAAGTTGTGTCTGATTCAGAAATCTGAAGACAACTCAATTGTAGCTAATCCCAGGATCTTCATCGCCAGGTAGAGATTGTAAAGTATTCAGATGTAGGTCTGAGTGTGATGGTACATAAAGTGCTAAAAGGAATTTGCTCTGCTCTCAGGTTGAAAGCCTAGAAGGGTTTAGGTCCACTTTCCCTGGGTTCATGCAGAAACTGCTGCCTGCCCCCAAGGGCCTTGTTGGCGTGCAGTCCTGATGGCGGAGGCTCTCTCCATCCTGGGCTCCCACATGGAGGCGCAGAACTGCTGCCTCTGAGCGAGGTCGTCGGCTACACTCACCCAATCCCTGGGTTTGCTGCGGTTTTTCCCCAGACTGTTGTTATCTCCAGCTTAGCTGCAAGCGATGTGTGCCAAAGGTGTGTCTCTGCACTTTGTGAAAGTCAGCGTTTCTTTCGGGAGATTGTCTCCAAGTTGGGTTTTCAGACAGGTTCAAAACAGGTCCAGCTGCGGAAGGCAGGGCCAGTCCTGCCCTGCTCAGACCACTGCTAAAGCCCAGAGAGGATGGCTGGGGGGGGGGGAAGTCCTGTTCAGAGTCCCCCACTTCCCTGACGGCCAGGGACAGATACCAGAACCAGAATGTCAGGCTCGGGCTTTGGTCAGGAACTCTGCGGGGCCGGGAGGCAGCCTCCGTGGTCCTGAGCTCACGGTGGGTGCTGATGTCTGGCTGTTTCCGCGCTCACGCGCTGCCGTGCTCACCTCACCCTCTCTTTTTCCTCCCACTCCTGCTTCCTTTGCTCTATCTGTGTGTCTTTGATGGAAAGACTAAAGAAACTATCAACGTTATAATAAATATCATATATTTTTTAGTTTCTAATATTTGGTTCTTGTTTTTTGCATTTTGAAAGGCTGCCCAGTAACACTTTAAGGCATTTGCATCATGACTGAGATTTATTTCTTATGAAAGTCGTAAGGAAAGAATCTGGGTAGTGTGATCCCTTGGGAAAGGTTTCTGGCCCCGGAGACCTCCCTTCCGGCTCTCCTACCTCTGCTGTTCCTCATGACACCAAATCTAAAGCGTATTTGTGACTCGGGCATCGGTAAAGAGGCCCGATGTCCTCCAGCCACTTGTGGATTGCACGGTAGAAGTCAGAGCTGAGAAGAGACCAAAGGAATTAGCCGTGAGGACTGGTCAGCAGGAGCAGCTGCCAGGGTCTGTTTGGCCGTGTCCATGTAGGGGTCGCCACACGTGCCCACTCGAGGAAAGGCTGCCAGGTGATTGTGCAATGTTCCAGGCTTGTGTCAGGAACATGCCAAGGAAACTGCCCTCCCCTCCTGCCTCAGAGCTGATGGCTCAGGCTAGTTGGATAGTCCTGACCAAAGAATGAGAATGTGGGACTGGAGCGACATTCCAGCGTGGAGAGCGTTTGCCTTGCACACGGCCAACTTGGGTTCGATCCTTGGCATTCCATATGGTCCCCCAAGCACTGCCAGGAGTAATTCCTGAGTGCACAACCAGGAGGATCCCCTGAGATCTCTCCGTATGAACCCCTCCCCCCAAAAAAATCGGAATCTGCTCACGATCACGATCACAACCATCTTGTTGTTCGTCGATTGCCTCGAACAGGCCCCGGTAATGTCTCCTTTGTCCTAGCCCTGAGAATTTTTTAAAAAGTGCCATATTCAAGGCTCTTTCCGCGTTAGTAGAATGAGCCTCATCATTGTTACTGGTATTTGGCATATTGGGTAAGCCACGGGGAGTTTGCCAGACTCTGCCGTGTGGGCAGGTTACATTCGGTAGCCTGCCAGTTTGTCCAAAGAAAGAATGAGATAATAAGATGCTTCCGGGAGCTGGGTTTTATAGTCTCTGGGTCTTGGCCATTGATGGGATTACAGGGCACAAGGGGGCCAGTTGGTGGGTGTAACCCCTGCCTACTGGAATATGGAGGATCTGAGTGGAGGATGCTCAGCCCCAATCCGAGCAGGCTTGGAGATCTCAGCCCCAGGACACGCATGCCTTTTTTCCTCTGCCAGTACCTTCATGCCTGTGGAGAGTGGTCTCAGCATGGTGATGGCTGGTTGTGGAGGTCTTCGGATGCCGGAGCCCTGGTCGGGGTGGGGAGGGAAACTCAACCCGCTCCCCTCCAAGGGGTCCCGGCGAGGACAGCCAGAAGCGGGGATAGGAGACTCTGCTCATCCTCCTTAAACCCCTTCACTTTGAATAAACATTTAAAACCAGATTTTCTAAGTATGTGTTAGATTTAGAGCAAGGAACTCTTAAAATCATCTTATGGTGGGATCAGTTACCAAATAAGTTTGTTTTGTTTTGCTTTGGGGACACAGTGCTCTTCAGTCATTCCTGCCTCCAGAGACCATGCAGTGCTGGGGACCAACCCAGCTCTCCTGTCTGTGAAGCGTAGACCCCAGCCCAGCCCCAAACACATGCCATAGGAAAGTCAAGATTCCTGACCCACAGGGTCGCATCAGAGATTTCCTTTCCACTAAAACGCTCTTATTTCCACCTAAACATGATCCTATTCCCTAACGAGGTGTTGCTCAGGTAATAGCTTAACTGCACAGAAGTCCACACTTTCCGGTGTATTTCCAGCCCTTGGGTGTTGAATTCAGGAGATCTCTGCTAGTCTCAGATTCTTTGCTTACTACTTAATGATCTGGAGTGTAAGTGTGAGCCACGCACTGAGATAAATACACACTTCTCTTTTCATCTCTGTGAGAATTTCCGTTTGCCGTAAACCCATGAGAAGTCTGTAATGTGTGTGCGGATATCTTGGGTCTCACTAACCAGACAAACATTCTGCCATTTCTAACATGGGCCTCAGTCTCCGATTCCTCCTGTCAGTTTTCGGAGGCATCTGACACTCGGAACATGCTCCTCGTTCACCCACTCATCCGGGGACCAGGGAGACTCGTCTTTTTGCTGTAAGTTACGCCTCATTCAATGTGTCACCTGCCCGCATCACTGGTGCTATGGCCCAGAGCATGTGATCTAAACATGCATGACCCAGTGCTGCAAGGTGGGATGGAGGGAGTGCCCAGTGGCCCTGCCGGCTTCTCCCAGGGGTGCACAGATTCGAACCACTGAGTCGGATACGAACAGCCACAGCTGTCCTGGGCCCCAGACTTTAATGAGATCCCCCACTTCACACGCACCTCTGTCTCTCTCCCAATATGCATCCCAGGAGCCACACTTCTGTCCCCTCTCATGTCCTTTCCAGGCTGTGGCATTGCCCAGTCTTGACTGAACGTCCGTCCCCACCCTGTGCTCCCCCACACACGTCCTTTTGTGTGTGTTTTAATTGTTGTCATTGCTTGGTAATAATTTATTCAAGAAATAGCACTTCAACCTGGGATTAGGTGTTTAAAAGAATTCTTTTTTGGGGGGGTGGGGTGGGGGTGCAACAAGTTCTTTTTTCCTTTTTTCTTTCTGTTCTCCATCTTCCAAAGTTATTAACTAGTTTCTTAAAATTCAAATGGACACAATGATACGCGGGTTCTGGCATGTACACACAGGCAAAGTTTTTCTCCCTCACAGTCAGTAAAATTTCCCTAAACTTCTGCAAGCATCAAAGCCTGGGCCCCTCCCCCCCGCAATAGTCCTGGGAGCCGTTGAGCGTGGGTTCTAGGGCAGTTGTGCACTGGCCTCTCTCTGGGTTGATTTCGGCACAGGAAGGGAAGTCGAGGTCCCAGGGGCTGTTAGGACCCGCGGGGCCCTTGACCAGCAGTCCGTGGCCGGAGGGTCCAAGGAGACTCAGTGGGCTGGGGGTTCCCGGAGGTTCATGCCCAGCTGCAGTAGCAGCAGAGCGCGGTGTGGAGAGGACGGTGGCCCCCTGCCCAGACCCGCCCCCGGAACGGCGGGCAGAGGTCGGGCCTCTCCTCCACGGAGAATGGGATGCAGGAGAGACCCCCGACCACGGGGTCAGAAGAAGCCGAGCCGTCTAGGCTTCGCTGCATACCTTTGAGCCCGTTTCCCCACCTGGAGTGGAGGCCGACCCCCCCCAGCAGGCGTGGGGGTGCGTGGTGAGTCTCGGGCGGGGGACGCTGCCGCGGGGACAGCCCCCCCTGCCGGCACGTGCGGGCCGCCCGGGCCTCCGTTGACCCCCATCTCCTTGGCCGCGCGTAGCCGGGCGCCCACGAGGAGGAAGACGCGGAGCCCAAAGCCTGAGCCTGAAGCCACCGCCGGACGGGACACCGCGCCGCATGCGAGGGACCCCCGCCCGCCCCGCCCCGCCCGACTGGGCAGACGCCGAGGCCGCGGTCTAGTCCTGCCGGCGCCACCGCCGCCCGCTCCCTCGGACAGACGCCTCTGGACTCAGACCCCCGAGACGGAGGGGGGGGGCCGCGCCCACGCCCCAGGACTCGCGCGCCCTGCGCGCCCTGCGCTCCCCGCGGTCCGCCCGCTGCTGCCCCCCAGGAAAGACAGTCACGTGGCCTCGGGGTGCGCCTCGCTGGGCGCCGGGGGCCAGGGGCTGGGGTCCGCCCCGCGTCGGGGAGATGGGCGCTGGGGGTCGCCCGCCGGGAGTCGCCGGCCCTGCTCCGGCCCCCGCCAACCAACCTGGCAACACGGAGCTCGGGCATCCGGCCGGAGGCCCCCCAGGGACCGCTGCGCGGGCAGCGCCCCCTCCTGCGGCTCCGCAGCCACGGGCCGTTCCCGAGGGGCCGGCAGGGAACCCCTGGGACTGGGGACGCGGGCCTGAGCGAGGTGCTGCTGGGTGCGGGTGGGCGGGACCCCGAGCCAGGCAGGGCCCGGCACCTGTGCAGTTCGCACGGCGGCCAGCAGAGGGCGCCGCAATCCGCTCACCAGCCTGCTGGGGGTGCTGGTGGGTCCCTCACTGGGCAGGACCCGGCGATGGCCAGGGGAAACCGAGGACCCCCTGAGACCGCTCCCAGGAGCCGGGGCGGGGCGGGGGGGGGGGAGAACATGCCCTCGCAAGGCCAGCTGGCAGTGCAGGGGAGATGACGCCAGGGCGCCCTCGTCCCCCCGCCCCCAGTTTCCCGGGAGGGTCCCTCCAAGGGAGCAGAGGCAGCGCTGTGCTCCGGCTCTGCTGGGGGTCTGGGGGGTCTGTACAGCCCCGGGGAGCGCTGAGTCTCAGCGGCCTGTGCCCTGGTTCGGTGGGTGGGGCACCCTCGGCGCCCCTAGCGGGACAGTGGGAGATGAGGTGGCATGGGGCCCTGGGGTCAGAGCTGAGGGCTCTTCTGCTTCCGTATGGGGGTCACAGAGACCTTGGTGACCTGGGCCCTCTGGGCTGGGGCCCGCCTGAAGCCCCTGCTGTAGCCTGGGCGGGCGAGTCGTGGGGGCCATCCCAGCTGCAGCAGTGCTTGGGAACCATGTGGTGCAGACCCCTGTGCTGCCTCTCTGCCCCCATGTTCTTGATTCTTTCAAAGAAGCGTGTGGGAGCCAGAGACACTAGAGCAGACAGGGCACTTGCTTGGCGTGCAGAAGACTCGGGGTCGAATCCTGGCACCCCATAAGGCCCCCCTGGGTCTGCCAGGAGTGGCCCCTGAGCATCGCCAGGCGTGGCCCCAACAGTCCCCGTCACTGACACTGTTCATCGATTTGCTCGAGCGGGCCCAGTAACGTCTCCACTGTGACAATTGTTACTGTGTTTGGCATATCGAATAGGATACGTCACGGGTAGCTTGCCAGGCTTTGCTGTGTGGGTGAGATACTCTCGGTAGCTTGCCGGGCTCTCAAGAGAACTCGGGTCGCCATGTTGGCCGCTTGCAAGGCAAACACCCTTATTTTGGATCACACCCGGCAGTGCTCAGGGCTTACTCCTGGCTTTGCACTCAGGAATTACTCTTGGTGGAGCTCAGGGACCCTATGGGAAGCCGAGGATTGAACTCAGGTTGGGTCATGTGCCAGGCAAACGCACCTGGGCATTTGTGCCTCTCCCTCTGCCCCCACCCCCAAGAAAGACGTTTTCTCCCTCACAGTCAGTAAAATTTCACTAAACTTCTGCAAGCATCAAAGCCTGGGCCCCTCCCCCCGCAATAGTCCTGGGAGCTGTTGAGCATAGGTTCTAGGGCAGTTGTGCACTGGCCTCTCTCTGGGTTGATTTCTGGCACAGGAAGGGAAGTGGAGGCCCCAGGGGCCCTGAGGACCCTCAGGGCCTACAACCAGCAGTCCGTGGTCGGCGGGTCCTAGGAGGCTCAGTGGTCTGGGGGTTTTCCCACCTGGAGTGGAGGGCGCCCCCGAGCAGGCGTGGGGGTGCGGGGTGAGTCTGGGGCGGGGGCGCTGCAGCGGGGACAGCCCCCTGCCGGCACGTGGGGGACGCCCGCGCCGCCACTGACCCCCATCTCTTAGACCACGCGGAGCAGCGCGCCCCGGATGAGGGAGACTCAGAGCTGGAAGCCTGAGCCCTATGCCACCTCCACCAGACTAGGACCCAGCCCCGCCCGCCCGAGGGGCCAGACACCGAGCCCGCCTTCCAGTCTGGCTGCCGCCGCCGCTGCCCGGACCCCGCGGACAGACGCCTCTGGTCTCAGAGCCCCGCGCCCCCGCGTCCCAGGACTCGCGCGCCCTGTGCTCCCCGCTGCCCGCCCGCCGCTGCCCCCAGGAAAGACGGTCACGTGGCCTCGGGGTGCGCCTCCCTGGGCGCCGGGGGCTGGGGTTCACCCCGCGTCGGGGAGATGGGCGCTGGGGGTCGCCCGCCAGGAGTCGCCGGCCCTGCTCCTGCCCCCGCCAACCAACCTGGCGGCACGGAGCTCGGGCATCAGGCCGGAGGCCCCCCAGGGACCGCTGCGCGGGCAGCGCCCCCTCCTGCGGCTCCGCAGCCACGGGTCGGCCCCCGAGGGGCGGGCAGGGAACCCCCGGGACGCGGGGACTGGCCTGATTGAGGCGCTTCTGGGTGTGAGTGGGCGGGACCCCCGCGGCAGGCAGGGCCCGGCACCTGTGCAGTTCCCACGGTGGCCAGCAGAGGGCGACGCGAGCCGCTCACCGGCCTGCTGGGGCTGCTGGTCGGTCCCTCACTGGGCAGGACCCGGCGATGGCCAGGGGAACCCGAGGACCCCCTGAGACCCTCCCGGGAGCCGGAGCAGGGGGTGGGGGGCGGGGAACGTGCCCTCGCAAGGCCAGCTGGCAGTGCAGGGGAGATGACGCCAGGGCGCCCTCTCCCTCCACCCCCATCTTCCTGGGAGGGTCCCTCCAAGGGAGCAGAGGCAGCGCTGTGCCCCGGCTCTGCTGGGGGTCTGGGGGGTCTGTACAGCCCCCGGGGAGCGCTGAGTGTCGGCGGCCTGTGTCCTGGCTCGGTGGGGCACACCCGGCGCCCCTAGCAGGATGGAGGGAGGTGAAGGGGTGTGATGTCACTCTTTTCATGTGACCGCGGCGTCACGTGGCGGCGGGGCCCAGAGGAGCCAGGCCACGCACCTGCCGTCAGGCGGGTGAACCTGAACGTGCTGAGCGAGTTCCTGGACATGTGCGTGGGCAGCAAGCTGAGGGCCAGGGCGGGCAGCAGCCTCTGGGTCCGGGGGCGCCCCCCAGAGTCGGCAGCCCCGATAGAGGGGGCGTTGTGCTCCCCGCCCCTGCGGCTCGGCTCTGGGAAGGAAAACGGGGGCGACTGGAGTCAGTATCAGCAGGACGAGCCCAGCCCCAGGTCCAGGCACTCCCTGCTGTCCCCGTGTGCGGGGTGGCGCTGCATACTTCCCTGGGTACCACTTCTCCCAGCTGCCCGTTCCTCCACGGTTCGCGCAATCAGTTACGCCAAATGGGGAAAAAGGACCCTGGTGTCGCACAGGCGAAATGCTCACAGGCCGCTTGGCATTCGTCCTGGCCCCCAGTGACACCACCCTTGCCTAGGTAGAGGCGAAGGTCAGCTGGAGGCCTGACTCTCTCAGGAGCACATGACACTGTCCCAGCTTTCCAAATACTCTCTCAGAATTAAGATACCTATGGGATACCTACACGAGAGGTTTTCATTTGATTGACGCTGGATTATATGACGCCTGTTACATGCTGGGTTGAACGGTTTCCTTGGCAGTTCACCCATGGGGTTCATGACCCCAGTCTGACCCCAGGACACTGCATACACAGTCTTTGTGGATGACAGTGAATGTGCTTCCGTGGCCAGTAGCACCCCTTGCCCTGACGCTGTTTTTCTTCAGGCCACGGAAAATGAGTGTGGTCAGCTATTGCTAACTGCAAGTTTTGTTTGTCCAGAGTTTGCAAATGACTGTTGTTTGCTGTTGGCCATTATTGAAATCCCTTTTACTAAAAGAACGGGATGCTTCTCTCTCCCGCAGGCAATACTTTGAGATGAGTATCTCACAGGACCATTTGGCTTGATTGCACAGTACTCACTTTTAAAGGTAAAAAGGTTTTGGTTATTATTATTTTTTTGAAACTGTCATTCTGGACTCTAGCAAGAGTAATATGATGTTCCACTTCTGGAGTAAGTGGTGTGCAGAGCTGTCTGGTTTTTAGAATCACTGACGCTGTTATGAGTGGTAAATGTTTTATCTTCTGTGGACCTTTTGTTTATTTATTTGAAGTAAAAAAAACCATTTTATTTGGTGACCTTTAGAAAGAGGACGAGCGGAGAGAGAGTAACATTTCAGGAGAGACCGTGGGCTTTTCCAAAGACAGAGAGAGAGCCCCTACACACATCCCAACATTAAAAAGGATAGCACAAAAGTCCCCATCTCAAGGAGGGACCGCATTTGCTCGGCTACATGGGCACAAGCAGCTCAGGGGCTCGGGCAGCATAGGAGCCTTCAGTGGACCTTTCAAGGGTGGGTGTGCACCCCCCTCTTCTCCTTGATGGAGAGGCATGTCTTCTGATTGTTACTTCATGTGGCTCAAAGTTTTTCAGACACAGGATTGGTTACTTCAGCCTGAATTTATACACCTGGCTTTGGGGAATCTAAATTTTTATCCTAAAGTGGTTTTGAATTTTATTTGGGGGCTCGTGCCAGGCAGTGCTCAGGACTTACTCCTGGCTTTGCACTTAGGATCACTCCTGGCAGTGCTCAGTGGACAGTATGGGGTGCTGGGGATAGAACCCCGGGTCAGCTGAATGCAAAGCAAGCACCTTCACCACTCTACTTTCTCCCTAGCCCCAGGTCTCCTGAGCACTGCCCCTGGGCACCTCCTGGTGGTGAGTCTTAGCAGTTCGATGAGGCTTGGCGCTGTGGTGGCAGTGATATCCCAGGCCACTCCAGTGGCCA